TCTCATTTCCAAATATGTAATCTTCTGTGTGAACTGAATTCATTCAACTTAAGTGTCACAAGGGAGCGAGTTCTATGTTTACAGAAGTAAACATGAAAGGTAGAGCTGGAGCACATTTGCAATCTTTAATTTCTTTCCAGCCCCAGCCCGCCATTTTGACCCGGGAGCAGAAATACACATTATACATCTCATTATAAAGGCAGAAATATTCATTCCATTGATGGATCAACCTATTTACCAACTCAAAATAATACACTTAAGTAAAAAAAGTATCATTTTCATCTTGTTTTTTTTGTTTCATCTTTTGCAGTTTAATGCTGCAGATGGCAAAACTTCTGTTATTACCCCTAATATAAAAAAAAACACAAAATGGAGCTGTTTACAAATAAAAGATAAAAAAAACCCGAAGCAAACAAATATACTCTGTGTGTAAAATAAATAAATAAATAAAAAATCCACAAATCTGTATTCAGATCTACAAATATGTACTGAGATTTACAAATCTGTATTCAGATTTACAAATCTGCAGTAAGATTTGCAAATGTGTAGAACAATCTGTAAGCACACACAGAGACACTGTGTCCAAAGTATTTTCGCTTCAACACCCAGAAATACAGACACATCATTGGTTACAAGTCCAGCGGTTTCTCGGTTGGCTCTCTTTACACACGTGATTTTTGCTACACTTCTGCCGCATTTGTATCTGTAAAATCTGTAATACAGATTTGTGGATTTTTTACACATTTGCAAACCAGATTACACACACACAAGTAGTTTTGCACATTTGCAGATTGTTGTACAGACACACAAATCACCTCACACATTTACAGTTTCATTTACACATTTTCAAATCCCCCTGCACACGCACAAATCAAGATACAGATATACAACTCCCCACACACATTTGTAAATAATAAAGCAACAATTTTGGCCCCATAGAAAAGTAAAGTCTTGAATTAAAAACTTGAGTAATTTAACGTCTGGGATGTTTGAGACATCCCAACATCAGCCCAAAATAAAGTCGATTTAAGACAAGACCGAGTAACGTTAACTTAAGTGGTCTCGAAAACAGACAGCTACACCACAGGAGAATAACAGCCATAATCGAAAAACAAGTAAGCTTTCCTTCTTTTCCTCGCCTCTTGCTACAGCTAGCCACAAACAAACAGGGTGGTTTGTAAAAGTGTTGAGGCTTGTTTTATTGTGTTTAACCGGGGCTTCTTCTTTATGCCTCAACGTTCTTGTCTCAGCATTCATAGTTGTGTAAAAAATGTTAGCGTCCATTTTGAGCAGGTCGACATACATACATACATATAGATATTGTATCAGCCAGCTAGTATTAGAATTTCAAATAAAGTGAACGCTTGCTAACCTAACGTCACTTGAGTTACTTGCTAGCAAAATGCTAGAGAATCAAATCATGGTAATTGTAAGCCAGCAGGAGGACAAATATAACTGACCATTAACGTACACTTAATAAAGACAACAAACAACAAATAGCTTTTGATAACAACAAAAATATGCATTTATCTCTATATGCTTTTTCAAATTCGATGGTGAATTCTTGAAAGCCAGCAGTTCATGGTGTTTTGGTTGGCACAATTTGCAGCACATTCGCCAGGAGTCATTCTTGATGCCTACTATGTCAAACATCTCTTTCAGATAAGGCCAAGGGTGATCGGGAATGTCTTGCTGCTTTTCTGCCGAATCTCTGGGATCTCTGTTTTTTTCACTTTCCATCATCTCGTCGTCCATACTTCTATGCTAACGCTACCGCCACCAAGCTGCAATGATTTGCCGCCAATGAATACCGCCGAATCTGCGGATTCATCTTGCAGTGGTGCGTCAAATGCAACGTAGATTCCCATCCAATTAGATTGAATTTGGTATTGATGACGTGAAAAATAATAACTGTAACTCCATTGAAATGATTCAAAACTAAAGTAACGAGCCAATTTTTTAAAATGTAAGGAGTAGAAAGTACAGATATTTGTGTAAAAATGTAAGGAGTAGAAGTAAAAAGTCGCCATAAAAATAAGTAGTAAAGTAAAGTAAAAATATCAGAAAAATCTACTTGAGTACAGTAACAAAGTATTTGTACTTCATTACTTCCCATCTCTGACCGTCAGGTATGTATTCCGTTAGTCTGCTGGGCTAGTCTGTTGGCCGGATTGTTCTGTCATGATCAGCAGGATTACTAGCCCAGATGCAGAACTCACAGAACACACAGGCCGGGGGAAAGTCCAAAGATTTATTGGTTAAAAACAAGATTCTACCTGGAAGGCAGAGAGGACAAGTTGGTTAGATTCAGGCTCCGGTTCAGGTTCACAGGCTAACAGAGGGCCAGACAGGCAGGGTGGCACAGGCTTGCTTAACCAAAACAATCCAGCTCAGACTGAGGTTGTCCTCCAGCTTAAGTAAGGAGGCGTAATCAGCTGATGGGGAACAGCTGTCAATGCTGAATCCAAGCTCCCCAGGAATGGATCCACAGCGCCCTCTGGTGGGCAAGCCTCTGGATCCTAACATCCATGACCAACAGCTAGCCCCATCCTTAAAGAAACTCATTATTACACCCCCTACAGTCAGAGCTCCCCATATTGAGGAGTCTCAATTATGGACCTTCTTTTATGGGGAAAGGGAAGATCTTTTCCTTTTCCTGCCACCTCCATCAGCTCTAGTGCCCATTAACGGGCCAGTTTCCCTAGCTCCAGTGCCCATTAACGGGCCACTTTCCCTAGCTCCAGTGCCCATTAACGGGCCAGATTCCCTAGCTCCAGTGCCCATTAACGGGCCAGATTCCCTAGCTCCAGTGCCCATTAACGGGCCAGATTCCCTAGCTCCAGTGCCCATTAACGGGCCAGATTCCCTAGCTCCAGTGCCCTAGCCCAATTGCTGAATTATTTCTGTAACACCAAATGCGTGAACAATCTAGAAACATCAAAACATGGTCATCCAGCGTTAAATCTATTTTATACATTTATTAACTTATTTTCAAGTAAATTTGCTATATATCACATTAGTTATGTTAAGGTCAAAAGATGTTTTCTATGATAACATTTTGTTGTCAATCAAACATAGACAATACTTGAATAAGCATAATGTAATTCACTGATTGTGGGCTACTTTGATTAAACTTTAAAAAAAAATACCAAAGGCCTCATTGCATTTAGATCAATATGCTTTGCTATCTTTAAAAAGATAGTATGGAAGATATTTAAAAAAAAATGTCTGCAGAAAGCAGATAGGAGCACATGATGATTTCAAAGAAAAGATGCCAAACAGAAAGGAAAAGGAAAGTAACATCTCCTTCAAATTAGTTTTTGTTTGACTGGGTTAATTTTGGTTGTAGACATTCGAAAACAACTTGATGATCTCCAAGACTACAGTTACAGTAAGTTTTAGTGGACTGTGAGCAGTGATGGGAGTAACGGTGTTGAAAGTACCGGCGTTACTAACGCCGTTACCTTGTTTTAGTAACGAGTAATCTAACGAATTGCTTTGACTGTAACTATAACGCAGTTACCATTGCAGACACCCTGTTACTGCGCGTTACTCAGGTCGCACAATGAACCTTTTTTTCACGATAGGACTCGTGTGCGCCTTGTCATGAGAGAGGGGAAGATGTGATTGGCTGATGTATAGTGAGATTCCGTCTGTCAGTTGGGTAGGTGGGTGTTTCTGCTGGTGGGTGTTAACGTACAGCACACACAGAGAGATGGAGAGTGAGGAGGACTCCAGCAGCAAAACAGCGTTTTCCACATGGAAATACCGCTGTTACGTCGAGCTGCGTTTCCCCATCAGATACGGTTTCCTCTGCATCTCCGCACAGTGCAGGCGGCACGATTCACTGAGCAAGCGACAGGAAAGGCGCATGCTCGCTAAAGGCGCTTAACTCGTTAGTTAAGTGCCTTTAGATATGAAGAGGAAGGGTTAGCTTGCTAAAGGGGAACTACGGAGAGCGTGAACGATCAAGTTAGCCTATACGGAGAAAGGGAGAAATCTGGATAGATGGATGGATGGATGGATGGATAGATAGACAGACAGACAGACAGACAGAGGTTGCAGTATCTATAACAACCCAAACACACAGGATTTTAGAATTAGACATCCCCAGTTATTAATTTGTTATACTCACCAGATCTGAACCTGATGATATTTACACCGCATCAGATAGCGTTCCCCCATGTTAAGCAGGGGAACCAGCTGAGTGCATCGACTCATTGACTCTTCAGCAATCCCTCACACTAAGCAATCTTTTAGCGACAGTGGAGAGGAAAAACTCCCTTTTAACAGGAAAAAACCTCCAGCAGAACCAGGCTCAGTGTGAGCGGCCATCTGCTGAGGCCCACTGGGGTTCAAGGAGACAGAAGCAGACATAGAAAAAGAAGCATAGATACAAATTTCTGACTGAGTCAGGAGAGTCCTGCTGTTTTCACACCTTTCTATTTAATTTCACTGATCACACAAAATGGAACAGCGCCCCACAAAATAAGAAAAAAAAAGCTTGCCACCTGCTACACTTGCAATGCTATTGCATTTGCTAGCCACAGTATTGGAGCCTGAGTGTAAATAGGAGTGACATGTAAACCACATCCTGATGCCTCAATTACATGCAGTGTAATTCAGTTTTATAAGATCTGGTTGGAGCAATTACAGCGCAGGAGGTGGGACTTTACGATGCTTGACCCTCAGCGCCATAAATACCCATAAAGAATAAGCCCTTTTCGGCTAGCATGATGTAAAGTTGGCAAAAGCAACAGAGCTATGTTGCACTGAAAACTAAGAATGCACTGGATTTAGGTGTTTTGCAAAAAACAGCAGAAATGGTTCAATTGAGAGGTTCTTCGATTGCTTGACATGTTTCACGGACGACAACATCTAAGCAGAAATAGCTGTGAGTCTGTTGAGCAGGAGGAAGAGGAGCTGAGAGCTTCAGGGAGGAGCTGAGCTGTTACTGAACTATAGAAGAGACACAAACTTCCACACTCAACACAGTTCAAACATTAACTCTGATCATCATGCTGTCTTTGCTCACATCTGGATTTACTCTGCTGGTTCTGCTTATAGGAACAGGTTAGTTGGAGTCTTTCAGAGAACCACTTGATACTTGTTGTTTTTCCCTTATAATTGTTTTTCTTCCTTCAGGTGTAAAATGTCAACAACTCACTGCAGCAAAGACTGAGGAGTTCACCTTAGAGGGCGGCTCTGTTACTCTGTCCTGCAGTTACACCAAAGGTTCTGTGGAGTTTTTGTTCTGGTATCGACAATATCCTGGAAAACCTCCAGAGTTCCTGAAGTCTCATTCACCATTTGGTGAACCAGAACACCTGGACAGACTGAAATTTGAAGGAAACAAGGAAGAAATGAATATGACCATCTCCTCTGCTGCAGTGACAGACTCTGCTGTGTACTACTGTGCTGTGAGGCCCACAGTGACAGGAAACACCAGAACTCTGTACAAAAACCTGAATTATTTAAGAAAATCCACAAGAGGGCAGTGAAAAGCCTTATGCCTCTACTATTTGCTGAGACTTTTTATGACTGTTAGGGTGTCAACAATGGCTGGTGAGGTTGCTTTGAGGACCCAGATGCAGAGACAAGTGAAGCTGGGATGTGTTCTGAAAGATTTAATTGAAAACCAAAAAGCAGCAGAGGCAGAAATCCAACTCAAAATATAAAACAAACCAAAATCATGGAGACATCAGGGTAAAGACGAATCTGAGGAGCCAGGGAGAGACGAGCAGAGTAGAAAACACAGCAACGAGAAGGAACCAGCACTGAGTGACTGCAGAGGTGGAGTATTTAAGGACAACCAAACAAAGGAAGGACTAACGAGCTGAATGGGGAGCAGGTGTGGGTGGAACTGGCAAGAGGGAATCCAAGGGAAAAGAAAACAATCACAAGGGGGCAACAGAGAGTAACTAAAGAATGCTTGAAGATAATGGAAAATAAAAACAAAACAACTGATAACAGAAAACTCAGAGTAACAACAAATAGGAACCATAACAGTACCCCCCCCTCAAGGGCGGATACCAGACGCTCTTGGAGCCCAAACACAAAACAACCCACCCAGGGTGGGCGGAGGGGGAAACCAGGAAGGAGGGCAAGAAACACAAAACAACCCACAAAAGGTGGGCGAGGGCAACCTAAAGTCTCTAGAATTCAGCCCTGTGGCCGGGGAGGAGAAAGAGTCTCTGGAGGCCGGCCGTGGGGCCGGAGGCGAGGTGACAGAGTCTCTGGAGGCCGGCCGTGGGGCCGGAGGCGAGGTGACAGAGTCTCTGGAGGCCGGCCGTGGGGCCGGAGGCGAGGTGACAGAGTCTCTGGAGGCCGGCCGTGGGGCCGGAGGCCAGGCAGAAGCTCAGGAGGACGGCAACGGCCTCACAGTCTCTGACGAAGGAGGCTCTCTGGAGGAGGCCGGCGGCGAAAGAGGGCCCCAGGAGGACGCCGGCGGCGACGCCGTCTCTGACGAAGGAGGAGGGCCCCAGGAGGACGCCGGCGGCGTCTCTGACGAAGGAGGAGGGCCCCAGGAGGACGCCGGCGGCGTCTCTGACGAAGGAGGAGGGCCCCAGGAGGACGCCGGCGGCGACGCCGTCTCTGACGAAGGAGGAGGGCCCCTGGAGGACGCCGGCGGCGACGCCGTCTCTGACGAAGGAGGAGGGCCCCAGGAGGACGCCGGCGGCGACGCCGTCTCTGACGAAGGAGGAGGGCCCCTGGAGGACGCCGGCGGCGACGCCGTCTCTGACGAAGGAGGAGGGCCCCTGGAGGACGCCGGCGGCGACGCCGTCTCTGACGAAGGAGGGTCTCTGGAGGACGCCGGCGGCGACGCCGTCTCTGACACAGCCGCAGGAACCTTGGGGGCCGCCGACTGCGGCACAGGAACAGCCTCAGAGGGGGCCGCCGACTGCGGCACAGGAACAGCCTCAGAGGGGGCCGCCGACTGCGGCACAGGAACAGCCTCAGAGGGGGCCGCCGACTGCGGCACAGGAACAGCCTCAGAGGGGGCCGCCGACTGCGGCACAGGAACAGCCTCAGAGGGGGCCGCCGACTGCGGCACAGGAACAGCCTCAGAGGAGGCTTGGAGCGCCCGCTGAGGGGCCGTGGAGGCTTGGAGCGCCCGCTGAGGGGCCGTGGAGGCTTGGAGCGCCCGCTGAGGGGCCGTGGAGGCTTGGAGCGCCCGCTGAGGGGCCGTGGAGGCTTGGAGTGTCCGCTGAGCCTTACTTTAGAGAGCCTTTTAATAGTGTGCTCAGGGATATCAGGATGACTCTGAGCGGGCTCAGGGGTCCTAGGCGCTAGGCTAAACGGCCCGCTAATGGGCACAGGAGTCTCTGGCGCTAGGCTAAACTGCCCGCTAATGGGCTCAGGAGTCTCCGGCGCTAGGCTAAACGGCCCGCTAAAGGGCTCAGGCTCTGGGGGAGCTGACCCGCTAATGGGCTCAGGAGTCTCTGGGGGAGCTGACCCGCTAATGGGCTCAGGCACTGGGGGAGCTGACCCGCTAATGGGCTCAGGCACTGGGGGAGCTGACCCGCTAATGGGCTCAGGCACTGGGGGAGCTGCCCCGCTAATGGGGACTGGAGCTAGGGAAACTGGACCGCTAATGGGGACTGGAGCTAGGGAAACTGGACCGCTAATGGGGACTGGAGCTAGGGAAACTGGACCGCTAATGGGGACTGGAGCTAGGGAAACTGGACCGCTAATGGGAACTGGAGCTAGGGGATCTGGCTGGCTAGGAACTGAAGGAGGTGGCAGGAAAGGAAAAAGATCTTCCCTCTCCCCATAAAAGTAGTGTCTTAACTGAGACTCCTCAATATGGGGAGCTCTAACTGCAGGGGGTGTAATACGTGGACCTGGTTTGAGTTTTTTTGAAGATGGGACTAGCTGTTTGTCAGAGGTGACTACTGAGACTATGGGAGACACTGACCTGGTTATGGGGGAGGCTAAGGCTAGCAGCTGGCTGACCAAAGGGAGTGGAGGCGTCAGGCTGACCCGCCGGAGAGGGAGTGGAGGCGTCAGGCTGACCCGCCGGAGAGGGAGTGGAGGCGTCAGGCTGACCCGCCGGAGAGGGAGTGGAGGCGTCAGGCTGACCCGCCGGAGAGGGAGTGGAGGCGTCAGGCTGACCCGCCGGAGAGGGAGTGGAGGCGTCAGGCTGACCCGCCGGAGAGGGAGTGGAGGCGTCAGGCTGACCCGCCGGAGAGGGAGTGGAGGCGTCAGGCTGACCCGCCGGAGAGGGAGTGGAGGCGTCAGGCTGACCCGCCGGAGAGGGAGTGGAGGCGTCAGGCTGACCCGCAGGAGAGGGAGTGGAGGCGTCAGGCTGACCCGCAGGAGAGGGAGTGGAGGCGTCAGGCTGACCCGCCGGAGAGGGAGTGGAGGCGTCAGGCTGACCCGCCGGAGAGGGAGTGGAGGCGTCAGGCTGACCCGCCGGAGAGGGAGTGGACTTCTTCCCCCGGCGACGCTTACGCCTGGAGGGAGCAGTTGGCAGAGGAGAGTCTGTAGAAGCTGAGGGAGAAGTGGAAGGAACTAATGGAGAGGTTGAGCAGGCAGCCGCTGCAGGTGATTGAGGTTGAGGTGGTGGAGGTTTATTAAAAAGCTGAGCTAAAGCAGCCTTGTGATTCCACTCCACCTCTTCTAAAATGTCCAGAAACCCTAGGGATGACAGGAGAGTTGTGTGGGGGGTTAAAATCCTTTTAAGGTCGGCTGCAGCACATACCCGTCTCCAAGGAGGGCTGAGAGTGGCAATCCTGTCCAGTGTGAAACGACAGTTCTCCAGAAAGTGTGTCATGCTTCCTGCCAAGTTTGACTCTGCTGGGTCCATGTTGGCTGGTTCCTTCTGTCAACAATGGCTGGTGAGGTTGCTTTGAGGACCCAGATGCAGAGACAAGTGAAGCTGGGATGTGTTCTGAAAGATTTAATTGAAAACCAAAAAGCAGCAGAGGCAGAAATCCAACTCAAAATATAAAACAAACCAAAATCATGGAGACATCAGGGTAAAGACGAGTCTGAGGAGCCAGGGAGAGACGAGCAGAGTAGACAGCACAGCAACGAGAAGGAACCAGCACTGAGTGACTGCAGAGGTGGAGTATTTAAGGACAACCAAACAAAGGAAGGACTAACGAGCTGAATGGGGAGCAGGTGTGGGTGGAACTGGCAAGAGGGAATCCAAGGGAAAAGAAAACAATCACAAGGGGGCAACAGAGAGTAACTAAAGAATGCTTGAAGATAATGGAAAATAAAAACAAAACAACTGATAACAGAAAACTCAGAGTAACAACAAATAGGAACCATAACATAGGGTAAATATGAAGTTGAAACATGTCACTCTTTTTGTTCAGTGCTTCATTGAACAAAAATACACAATAACAATTTAAACAAGTTTGTTTATTTGGTGCATTAAAACATAACACTGGTGACAGCTTAATTTAGATTAGATAAAACTTTATTGATCTCCTAATGGAGAAATTCACTTGTGACATTGGCTCTTAACTGGAGGTGCATAAAGGAGGAAAATGTGCATGAATAATATACAGTGCATCCAGATATATAGCGTGGATGGGAAAAAATAAAGAAGAAGAGATTTAAAGTGACTTATATACAGTAAGAATTTAAGGTATGTTGTTGTTAAGTGGAGTCAGGCAACAAAAGGAGTGCGGTTTCTGGTTTGCTAAATAAATGATTAAATAATTGAGAAGGATCTTATAGTACAGGATTATTGCACACGATATCCAATAGTTATTGCTCAGTTATTGCAGAGTTATTAACCCAGATTATAGGGCAGTGGCACTGTAAAGTCTGATGTCAGCGGGGATGAATGACCTGCCGTAGAGCTCCTTTTCATACACAGGGTGTATAACTCTCTTACTAAAAAAATAATGCATTGTATTTGATTGGTCTAATAAATGTATGTAAATATTCAAACAGGAAGTGGTCACAGATAGCCGATGTGAGTTAAATATCTCAGGTAAACATCATGATTAGAACAATAGACAAGAACTTAACACCTAAAGGAATAATTTCATTCAATAATTTTATCAAGAAAATAATTCCAAAAACTTTGTGTTGTGTGATTTTAGTGCGATGATGAAAAACATTTAAAGACCATCACTGATCTTCCAGCAGCAGGAGCTACAGGTGGATAAAACACCCCTCTATCAAGCCAATTGATTGTACCTTTTATTTACTCTCTTATAATTATCACTTAAAAAAAAAAAAAAAATATATATATATATATATATATATATATATATATATATATATATATACATACACACACACACACACACACACACAAACACTTGGACCAATCCCTCACCACAGCAGCTTAGCCAGCTCTCACCTATCCACACCCCCATTTTCCTTATTCCAGCTCCCCACTCTTAAAGGAATCAGCGAACTATTCCAAAAATCCAGGTCATCCATTTGTCAACTGGATCCCCTACCCAGACACTTGTTTTAGCTTGCCTCCCTTTTATTTGTGCCATTATCAACTTGTCTCTTACCACTGGAACTGTGCCTACATCCTTAAAAGCTGCTGCCATTACCCC